TCGGACAGACGGACCGATGCATGGATGGATGGGTGGATGGGTGGGTGGGTGGGTGGATGGATGGATGGATGGATGGGGACGGACGGACAGACGGACCGATGCATGGATGGACGGATGGGTGGGTGGGTGGGTGGGTGGATGGATGGATGGATGGATGGATGGGGACGGACGGACAGACCGATGCATGGATGGATGGGTGGGTGGGTGGGTGGGTGGGTTGGTGGGTGGGTGGGTGGATGGATGGGTGGATGGGGACGGACGGACAGACGGACCGATGCATGGATGGATGGATGGATGGGTGGGTGGGCGGGTGGGTGGGTGGGTGGGTGGATGGATGGATTGATGGATGGGCACGGACGGACAGACGCACCGATGCATGGATGGATGGATGGGTGGGTGGGTGGGTGGATGGACGGACAGACGGACCGATGCATGGCTGGATGGGATGGATGGACGGCTGGATGAATGGATGAAAGGATGCGTAGATGGATGGATGGTGGACGGACGGCTGGCTGGGCAGGTGGTTTGGCTGGTTGGTTGCTTGGTTGGTTGGTTGGTTGGTTGGTTGGTTGGTTGGTTGGCTTGCACCCAAGGCATCCTGAGCGCAAGCGTTGTCTTCGCATTGCCTCTGAGAGGCAGCCTGCAAGACATACGTGCCTCGACCGAAATCGGAAATTCTGGGCGAACATTATCACCTGATTTCTTTCTAGCTTTGCATTTCGGGAGTCAGTTTCCAAGGCGCTCAAATTCTCTTGGTGCCTATGCTCGTGGCGCGCCTTGGCACCCCTTAGCATGCCATCATCTGCCACACACCTCAGCAAAAAGATGCAGGCTGGTCCCACAAGAAAAAAACACACTCACAGCACACTGTGCCGGGAACGTGCGCCTTTTGCACCGCGCTGTGTGGCATGCCGTCACTGATTGAAAGCCAGGCAGGGCAGGGCCAAATTCACGCCTCCAACGTACAAAGGTTTGTTTGAACGCAGAACAGATACCCATCAGTCAAAACAGGGCACCGTCCGGCAAGATTTGTTTTTGTTCAAGGCAGCGCAATAACTGTGAGGCGGCGTCTTGCGTGCCAAAGGGTCGGCATAGAATCAAAACCTGAACCGCCAAACATACACCCTGACTTGAGCTTGAGTGTTACGTTGTGTGTATGTGTGAGAGTACAGTCGGGCGGGTGTACTTAACAACTCAGCACTTGGGGGGCGGGTTTGCCGCTGTGCTCAACATATTTAAATCAAAAAAAGTAACAACCCAATGCTAATATAATATACGTTTAAACCATGCAACTAATGGTGGATAATCTAATGTCCATTTAGATGGTTCATCAATGTACCATTTATTTACATCTAAACTATATGTTATTACCAGCCAATTACGATGTACCTCAAAATATGTTGAATGATACCATTGGATTAATTTGTTGGGCGGGTGTGCGTTTGAGCGGGTTCTCTCAGCACACCAAGGCACCGGATAGACATGCAAACGCAGTTGCACAGGTTTTGGCCAGACTGGGGGCGTGACACATGCCTGGGGACTCTTGAGCTGAATTGACAGGACGCGCAACTCCATGCAAATGCCAACCAAGCAGAAGTCATGCTTAACGGTGAAAAGGAGTTCCTATTTTAGCAGCTCGAAAGTCACATTGGTGTTCGCGAAGTGGCCTTAAAGTCGCGTTGGCCTATGCGAAGTGCACTTTGGCAGCTCCAGCTCAAAAAAAACAACTGTTCAGCGCGCGAAGTATGCTTTGGCAGCTTCAACATGCCTGCAATAGCTCCGTTATTTGGCTTTATTATTGTTGTTTGGCAGAGAAATTCAGCAAATAATCAACTCTGGGGAAAGGAACTTATTCTGTTCCTTCTTGCAACCCACATCCGATTCAAATATGAAAGTGCGTCATGTCCTTGCGCAGTTGCACTTACATCACAAGTAATTTCTATTTGCAGAACTGCATAACCATTCTAATTAAGTCATCTAAATATCACATTTGCAAAGCAACTATCTCAGTTGTGCGTTGTTTTTTTTAATTCGATTCACCCACTGTCAATGACATCTATTGAAATTCAAGTATGGAACAAATGTCAAGTTTTAAGATTTCAAATGCTTTCGACGTTAAGCCAAATTCAACTTGAACCGGTTGCAGTTTCTGGTACATTTCAGAAAAGCAACATTTGGAGAACACAACTATTGTCATGGCCAGTTGAAACTGCAATCAAATTCAATGTTCAAAAGGGTTATTGTTCTGATTTAACTCCGCGTGGGTTTAAGCAAGCAGAACTGAGCCAAGCGAATTACAGTAACGTGTTTTCAAACATAGGTCTTGGTCTTGGCAAGCAATGCTGTAAAATGCGGTGTTTTTCAGCATTTGCTCAGATGGTGAAGCCCTGGATCGAAGCTTGAGTATTCACTATTCCACATAGGTCTTTTCAGAACTTCCTCAATCCTGGCCCCTCAAAAGCTTGACAGTTTTTCTAAAATCTTTAAGGTTTCCCACCTACATTGAAGATTGAAGATCTCCCAGAGTTTGTTTTTTTCAGAATCTTTCATTTTGGCCAGCCTTGAAGCCCCCCAACAACTGCACTGTTTGCAACACATGTTCCCCCCCCCCCCCCCCCGGCAAAATGCAGGCGGTGCGCAGCCACAATTTGATTCTTGGAACGTAAGCTCCTGGTTTGCACTAAGTACTGATTTGAAGAATCCCAGAAAGTGTTCATCTCTGCTGTTCAGCATAGCGCACTCCGCTCGTTTTGGCTCAAGAAAAGGAGCGCTGCGACCGCCGCGCCTGTTTGTCGGTCATATTAGATTTTCATGGTAGCGGAGCCACTGGTTGCTTCAGTGGCCTGGGTCATTCATTGGGTTCATCACTGCGCTGGGGTGGCCACTGCTTGTCCTGTTGGCAGTATCGGCTGTTTCGGCCGGTACGGTCATAGGCAGGCGGTGGGTTCACCAGGTCGCGCGCGAGAAGCGCGTCGTCGGCCCGCCTGATCGTGAAGGTCAGGACCATCAGGAGGAGGCAGAGGCAATTTGCCTACCTCGGCCACTTCCTTAACTCGTTGAGTGAAAGTGTGACTAAGAGGATCAAGAAGCTATGGCCCAAGATGGATTGAACTTGGATGCATTGGCCGATGAGATGCGGCGGATGTCGCAGGCGTTGCAGCAGAGCCAGGAGCAGAACGCCCTCTTGCAGGCCCAGATGAATTTGCTGACTCAACAACAGCAGCAACAGAGAGCCGCTGATGACGGCATTCAGCCGAATGTGACGATGCAAGACCTCGGTCAGATCTTCGCAAGCATCACCCAAAGCCAACGGGATCTTGCTGACGCCATGAGGTCCCAACACGAACGAAAGCTCGCCCTGATCGACACGAAAGGCCTTGCGAAGCCTGACAGATTCAATGGCGCGGAAGAGAACTTCCTATACTGGCGGGTTCGACTTGAGAGTTTCATTGTGGCCTCCATGCCGGACCAGCTCGTTGCGGACATCTGTGTAGCCCGCATAGCGCTGCCGGTTCAACTGAAGGTAGCGCTCTATCTCTGCGGGGCAGATGTGCTCGAGGATGGCGATCTTGATCTCCTCATCGAGCTGATGCCGCGAGCCGTCGGTCTTCCGCCTCGACTCATACTGTCTCACCATTTCCTCCCAAGATTCAACCGCCGCGGAGAGCTCCTCGACCTTGTTGGCCTTGGCGGGGTTCAGGATGCGGCGCAACATTGCACGCCTCCGGCCTCCAGTGGACGGGTCAAAGCGCTTGAACAGCCGTCTCCACGACTCCAGGCCATTGTTCTTCCCCGCACTCCTCACTATGGTGAAGGCCTAGCGCTCATAGAGCGTCTGCAGCAGTGCGTACAATTGCGCGTCCACCTGCTCGATGTCCCTCACCTGTTTGTGCGTGGGATTCATGGAGCCCCATGCCGCCTTGATCGCCGCCTTGGTGATCTCGTCCTCATGCTCCTCGGACCACTCCAGGACCTCCTCAAGTGTGATGTACCTGGAGACTCGCCTCGGGACCCGCATTAAGAACTTCTCGCTATCTGCAGGTGCGGATGATGGTGCGGCTCCCATGGACATCGGTGGCTTCGGCAAGGGCGGAAGAGGTAATGGAAAAGGCCAAGGTGGAAAAGGCGGCAAAGGCAAGAAGGGCAAAGACGGCAAGGGGAAGTCGAATTCGGCGAAGCCCACATGCCACAACTGCGGCAAGCCTGGACATTATGTCAAGGATTGCTGGAGCGCCGGAGGAGGAGCAGCCAACAAAGGTCAGCAACCCAAGAAGCCTTACGGCAAGGGCGGCTATGGAAAGGGCGGCAAAGGCAGCAAAGGTAAGAAAGGAAAGAAGGGACAAGGCTCCAAGAACGGTGTCAACAACTTTGAGGAAGCCGATGATGACGGCTATCACCACGATGGAGGACAAGTGGAACCTGAAGCTGAGGCGCACGACACGGGCTACCAGTCCATTGCTGGATTGGACTATTTGAGCCTATCTGAGAACGAATCGGATGAGGCCGAGAACGATGAGGAATATCCCTGCCTGGACCCATGCGAGCAATGCTATGTGAATGGGTGTGCATCGGCGATGACCAAGCCCGATGGAGAACACGAAGGGCCTCACATGTGCGCTCAGTGTGTTGAGGACGAGTCCAACGATCGTGGTGAGCTGAGTGAGAACAAATGGATACATGAATACCAATTCGAGTACGTGGTCGACCGCACAGTTTGCTTTCAATTCAAGGTGGATCCCAGCCAGTTCTACGAGCAGTCAGATCTGGAGAAGGATTCAATGCGGAAGATCCGACCGGATCTCTGAGGTTGCAGAATGATCAGATAGACGTGGCCGCGTGGAGAGGGCTTCCTGGAAGGCGCGCTCGCAAGGGACCAAGGAGCGAGTCGGACCTCTCCGGCCGTCTCCACGTCGGATCCGGGTGAGCAAGCCAGTTCTTCCGCTCTGCCCAGACCACTAGGTACATCTTCCGGATTGATTGTACACCGGACCATCGAGATGATGGAGATCGCCAACCTCGATGTGGAGATCCGAGACAAGACCGCAGAGATTGAAGATGCAGAGGATGAGGAGACTGTGGCGAGACTCACTGCTGAGATCGAACAGCTCAAGGATCGTAAGCAGAAGCTGAAGGAAAGAGCCAGAGAAGAAGACAGAAAGGCCAAGGCCATCAAGCAGGCCGGGCAGTTCAAGCTCACAAGCGAGAACGTGCTCTCGCAGGAGTGGCATGATAGCCGCTACTATGGGGCAAGGAAGGCTGGCGTAAGCCACTCTGCAGCGTGGGCGCAGGAGAAGAAGCGAAGACGGGCGATTTTGAGTAGATAGCAGGGAACAGGAAGCAGAGCCAGAGAGAGGATCAATTTGGACAAGAAATGGCACAGGTCCTTTGACTCTGGCCAGGTGAAAGACGAGGAGTACCAGAACGATATCCTTGAAGGCGTCGAGACAGAAGGCGTGGAGGACATTGGCGGTGGAAAGGTGCGTGTCCTGACGGGCGATGCACGTGTCGCCAAGAAGAGCCAGCTGAGGCAAGCGGACCAGACCAAGTTCGTGCAGGCAGCAAGGAGGTACCGGAGTCTGACACAAGCTGAGGTGTCAAGGTTTAAGGTAGAGACGAAGGAGGATGAGGCGAAGGTTATGGAAAAGAAGCGGGTGAACCTGTTCGCCAAGAGGCTGAGGCACATGACGCCTCAGAAGAAGCTGGAGAGGAAACAGCGAGTAGCGGCCGCGAAGAAGAGGAGAACTGTCTGCAGGAGCATGGTTTGGCATGGAAAGTGCAAAGATGGAGACAAGTGCAAGTTCGACCATGACGTGGCCAAGTACGAGAAGGCCAACCTGTGCCCGCAGTTCATACACGGGCATTGCAGGCAGCTGACGAAGTGCAAGATGAATCACGATGCGGTGGAGCGAGAAATCTGCCGAATCCTGAAGAGGCAGAAGAAGGTGAAGAGGAAGAAGAGCGAGGCGCAGACAGGTCAGAAAGGAGCGAGTCGGACCTCTGGTCCGGCCGACTCCGATTCTGGCGGTTCTGCAATGGAGCAAGAGGATGCAAAAAGTACGGTGAGGCTGATCGAGGCCAAGGATGTGAAGAGTACAGTGAGGTTGGTCGAGGCCAAGGATGTGAAAGATCCCTCATCGTTTGAGGCTCCCTATGCAGAGCAAGGAGAATGGATCTCCATGAATTTCGACACCGGAGCGGCTGTCACGGCGATTCCAAAGAAGCTGAGCGACTACTTGGAGTTGAAAGGTGACCCTAACTCCAGCAGCTACAAGACGGCCAGTGGTGAGTTGCTTCCAGACGAAGGCGGGGCAGTCATGCGTGGATATACTAATGACTGCTGCGGACGAAGCATAGAGGGCCGCTTGGTGGATGTCCATCGATTGCTGGTCTCAGGAAGTGCGGTGTCGAAGAAGAATGTGGTGATCCTGGATGGCAATGAGGGTTGGATTATCCCCCGGGACAGCAAGATCGGCAAAGGCGTCCGCGCGACTCGCGACGACCTCATCAACCAGAACTACAAGGAGGCAAAGATGATCACGAAGATGTACGAGAGGAAAGGCATCTTTCTCTTCGACCTGTGGATGGACAAGCACACCAAGATGAATGGTGTGGATGCCAAGGAGCTCGGAGCAGTGCAAGGAGGGAGCCAGTCGCCAGGTTTCAGGCGGCAGGCTCAGAAGCAGCCGTAAGTCCGGAAGGTGAAGAGTCTGCTGAGGGTGAAGGTGGTCGGAAGCCGAAGCTGTTGCGATCGCCGGTCACCATGACAGTAGACGAGATTGAGGAGCACGAAACGCAGGCGACCATCCATAGGACCTGGTGTGGTCACTGCATGCGTGCTCGTGGACTACACGAACGACATGCTTCAGAAGCTCAGAAGGGAAAGGATGAGAGAGGATTGCCGATCATCTCCATGGACTACTTCTGGATGGGCAAGGACTCCAAGAACAGAGACGTGCCGGATCCTGAGGGTGAGTTACCGTCTCTGCAGATCAAGGATGAACACACAGGCTTTGTATGGGCCAGTGTGGTACCGGCGAAAGGGGCGGACCTCTACGCCGTCAACTTTGCCATCCAGAGCGTCGAGGAGAGCGGCTACCGGAGGATCGTGCTCAAATCGGACAATGAATCGTCAATCAAAGCTTTGAAGAGTGCGATCAAAGAGGGAATCAAGAGCGTCGAGATCGTGATGGAGGAAGGTAAGACAGGTGACTATCAAGAGCGTCGAGATCGTGATGGAGGAAGGTAAGACAGGTGACTCGCAGTCGAACGGAAGCTGCGAGGTGGCGGTCAGGGAGACCAAGAGGCAAGTCAGGGCGATGAAGAGCGCCCTGGAAGAGAAGATGGGTCTGAAGATCCACTCGAGGCACCCAATCCTCGCATGGGTTGGGCGTCACGCATGCTTCATGCTGTCGCGATTCCGTGTTGGAGCCGATGGCAGAACCGATGAGAGATCACGCGGAAGGTGGAAGAGACCTTCGGTCACCTTCGGGAGAGTATGGTTTAAGCCTCGGAGTTACGTGCGTTTGGCTTACGACACCATGCGTGAGGGCCTGTTTCTGGGGGCCCATGGGCGCAATGGCGATGCGCTCACCGAGGGCGTGAAGGGCGGAAGTGTGAAGAGAGTCCCCGACGAGACGAAATTCGACCAGATGTGCGGCACGCCATGGAAGATGAGGCCAAAGAGGCCTGAAGACCTAGTCGCGCCCGCCGTTGCTCTTCCAGCGGTCCCTGAGGGAGTTCGTTTGATGCCTGAGCCCTCCGATAAGGGATCAGGTCAAGTCAGGAATTTGTACGTCAAGAAGGCCGATGTGGAGGGAAACTTCACTCCCGGCTGCGATGGCTGCAATGCCATCGTGGGGCTCCCTGCAAGGTCCCACAGCGTGGAATGCAGAACGCTGGTTGAGCAAAGGCTCATGGAGACCGAGGAGGGGCGCGACTGCGTCATGAGGGCAAGGAAGAGAAAGGCGGATGCCGCCGGAAAGGAGGATAAGTCAGGAGACGTGGTGGTTCCCGCCATAGAAGGCATGCCAGACATGGAGGAAGTTGCAGCTTCGGCCGTCGGTCAGCCGGCCCGAGTCCACCCTTTGGGCCGGCCGCCAGAAAGGCGACCGATGGAAGATCCTGCGGAAGGCCTTCACAGAGCTAAGTCCCCGGACAGAAGGGGACGTGGCCCTGGAATCGGCCATGCAGGAGAGAGAGGCCGGAGCTTCGAGCTCTGGGAGCGCTGGAGCACAGCCCTCGGGAGCTGATCCTGCTATAAGCTTTCTGGAGAAAGTGTGCAGTGAAGTGCTACTCGGGCTGGACAAGACGTTTGTGCCTGAGACAATACATGAGATGAACCAGCTGTACCAATCGTTGGGAATGAGCGGCGCCGACGTGGCCGAGATCTATAACCCGAAGCGGTTCACGTCGAATTCCAACGCGTTCGGTCTGCAGCCAGGCTTCGCGATTGACTTGACGCTGCAGAAGGATGATGAAGGCAACCATTGGGATTTGTCAAAGACCGAGCATCAGAAAAGCTCAAGGGATTGCTGTGGAAGGAGAAGCCCGCGTTCTTGATCGGGTCACCACCTTGTGGGCCTTTCAGCCCACTGCAGAATCTGAGCAATCACAGGCGCACCGCTGCCCAGAACAAGGCCATTTTGGCTGAGGGCAGGTTGCACCTAAACGTGGCGACTGAGGCGTACTTGGAACAACACCGGAACGGCCGATACTTCCTTCACGAGCACGCGAAGCCTTCGAGAAGTTGGAAAGAGCCATGCATTGAGAAGCTACAAGCCATGGACGGCGTCTACACGGTGCAGGCTCCGATGTGCAAGTGGCATATGAAGGCTGAAGATGGGCAAGGAGTTGGATTCGTGCGCAAAGAGACGTGCTACGTCACCAACTCCGCCGAAATGGCTAATTATAAGGCACTTGAAGGGCGCTGTGAAGGGAGCCACAGGCATGTCCATCTGATCAACGGGCGGGCTCGTGAGGCACAAGTCTACCCGCCGAAGCTGGTGAACGCGATTTTGAGAGGAATCAAGAAGGAGCTCATGAACGCAGGCGAGATCAGTGAACTGTCTTCGATCACTGCAGGTCCTTCGCCTGACGAGACAAGCAGCGAGCCCACAGAATCTTTCTTCGACCCTGACGTCCAGACAGAAGGCGTCTTCTTCGAATCCGTGACCGGCACGCCTCTGAAGACCGAGAAGGTCTGGGAGGCGAGACGCGAGGAGATGACATGGGTGAAGAAACAGGACCTGTACGAAGTGGTGGATGAGCAGGTCTGCTGGAATGAAACCGGTCGAGGCCCGATCGGTCTAAAGTGGGTCGATAGAAATGAAATAAAGGAGATGCCTTGAAGGAGAATTACAGGAGCAGACTGGTGGTGAGAGAAATAAAGCGAGCTTCGGTCCCCCTGGCGGAGTTCGAATCTCTCTCGGCAATGCCACCATTGGAAGCTCTCAAAGTCCTGTGCTCACTTCTCGTCAGCAAGAAGGTGAGCAAGTCGGGACAGCCTTTGAAGTTGCGGCTGATTGACATCAGCAGAGCACACTTTGGACAAGCCCGCCGACGGGTGTTTTGCAACTTGGGAGAAGAGATCCCTGGCAAATGCGCGCTCCTGAAGCGCAGCATGTACGGCACCTTGGACGCGGCTTCGATATGGCAACACACGTATGCTGATGTTCTGAAGAACAACATCAAGCAATGCAATGCATGGCCCGCGTTGTTCTATCAGGAAGATAGTGATCTGAGATTCATGGTGCATGGGGACGATTTCATCTCCCTGGGTGACGACTTCGCCCAGAACTTTCTTGAGAAGGTCCTGAGCGAGAAGTTTGAGTACCGGGTGGATGGCCAAATCGGCCCTGAGGCCGCAGACGGCACAGCCATGTGTGTTCTCAACCGCGTGCTGGAGTTCAACAAGGACACCGGCATTCTCACCTATGCAGACCCGCGAAACGCAGAGGACATCATCCGTGCCCTGAATCTGGAGGAGAGCAAGTCAGTATCCACTCCTGCGGAGAAGCAGAAGCTCACCGACGTGCTTGCTGAAGCCTCCGTGAGCTTGAGACTGCGACATCGCACAGGTCGCTCACCATGCGAGCTGCTTACCTGAGTATGGACCGCGCCGATCTCAGCGAGGCGGTCAAGTCCTTGGCCAGACACATGACGTCGCCAACTTCGTACTCTTGGGGGCGACTCAAGCGGCTCGGGCGCTACCTTGTGGGAGTTCCGTCTACTGCGACAGCGACCACGCAGGCGACCTCAAGAGTCGCGAGAGCACTACGGGACTCATCTGCATGCTCGGCACTCACTGTGTCAAGCACTCAAGCAACCTTCAGAGTACGGTGAGTCTGAGCTCGGGCGAGAGCGAGTTCTACGCTCTGGTGAAAGCTGGGGCAATGGGGCTCGGCTTGCAGGCCATGCTGGACGAGTGGCAGATCCCCACCAGGATCGTGTTACTCTCTGACAGCTCCGCAGTGAGGGGAATGGCTTCACGGCGTGGCTTGGGTAAAACCCGTCACGTCCAGACTAGATACCTGTGGATACAGGAGCGAGTACAGAATAGGGACGTAGAGTTGCAGGCAGTCGGCACAGATCGCAACCTGGCAGATTTGTGCACGAAGCCTGTGCCTGCGGATGTGTGTCGCAGACACATGGACACCATGGGCAAGGAAATCACCGCCGGCCGCAGTCTGACTGCAAAGCAGTTGGTGTAAGCTGCGCATCGAGGGATGCTGGCTTAGGAGGGGTGTTCATCTGTGCTGTTCAGCATAGCGCACTCCGCTCGTTTTGGCTCAAGAAAAGGAGCGCTGCGACCGCCGCGCCTGTTTGTCGGTCATATTAGATTTTCAGAAAGAGTTGTCAGATAATCTTCAATCTTCAATATTTAACCTGGTTTGCGCAAAGTATGGACTTGAAGAATCCAAAAAATACAAAGCTACATATGTATGGACATGTATGGTCGACGCAGACACACACACACATTAGGCACGCATGTGTACAAGTGTACAGTACATGCGAGCGCACGACACATCCACAAAGAATACACACCAGCAACAGGCGGCACAACATGTAACCGGCAGGCGTGCCAAAACACACACAGACACACACACACACACACACCCACACCCACATCCACACCCACACCCACACCCACACCCACACCCACACCCACACCCACACCCACACGCACACGCACACGCACACGCACACGCACACGCACACGCACACGCGCACGCGCACGCACACGCACACGCACACGCACATGCACGCGCACACGCACACGCACACGCACACGCGCACGCACACGCCACGCCACGCCACGCGGCGCCGCGCCGCGCCGCGTCGCGCCGCGCAAGCACGCCACACACACACACATGGCCACAAAAACACTGCCACAACACCACAACACGTGCACAACCGTATATATATATATATATACAACGCACGCAACAAGCTGACTAGGCATGCATGTATACACGTGTGCATCACGTTCGAGCACTTAGTGCTTGCAGTTAGCCAGAGGATTCTCTCACTTGCAAGTGCCTGGATGCTGGCCGTGTGCTGCATGCATCCCTGGCATCCGCGGAAACTTGACGTGGAAACCTTTGGAAAACACGGGGCTGCGCTAATCAGCTCATCATGGCGCCGTTGGCTGAGGAGAAGGCAGCCCCTTCGGACCGTGTTTGCCTCGATGCGCTTTACGGAGGGCTCCCCGATGGTCCAGGCGTGCGGCCTGTTAAAGCTAAAGGACGGGCATCTTGGGAATCTTGGGCATCTTGGGCAATGTGCGAATCTGCGCTGTCAACATGTTTAACATGAGCAAACGTCATACGCAGTAAGGGTTTGCAGAAAGAGTGACCAGGCAACTCAATCTGACCAGAGAAGGCTGCACCGGCGACCCCGGCCTGTGCTCTGAATTGTTAGAAGGGCTGCGTGAGGCCAAAAGGTACATAGATACTTCTTAAAGCAAAGCCTTGTATGCTTTTGGCACTATTCCCTATCTATACTGGCCAACATGTTGGTGGAGCTGTGGAATGGCACACTGCCGAGCCATGCGGGACAAGTTGGACAGCCTGGGCCCAAGCAGTGTCAAATACCTGTCCAAGAAGTTGCAGCAACCATGCGATAGCCGCGCGTTTCACCAGAACTTTCGCTCATCCATTCATTTCATGTCATTTCATGTCATGTCATGTCATGTCATTTCATTTCATTTCATTTCATTTCATTTCGTTTCATTCATTTCATGCATTTCATTCGTTTCATTTGTTTCATTCATTTCATTCATTTCATTAATTCATTCATTCATTTCATTCGTTCATTCATTCATTCATTTATTCGTTCATTCATTCGTTCATTCATTCATTCATTCATTCATTCATTCATTCATTCATTCCTTCATTCCTTCATTCCTTCATTCCTTCATTCCTTCATTCCTTCATTCCTTCATTCCTTCATTCCTTCATTCCTTCATTCCTTCATTCCTTCATTCCTTCATTCCTTCATTCCTTCATTCCTTCATTCCTTCATTCATTAATTCATTCATTCATTCATTCATTCATTCATTTCATTTCATTTCATTTCATTTCATTCCATTCCATTCCATTCCATTTCATTTCATTTCATTTCATTTCATTTCATTTCATTTCATTTCATTTCATTCATTTTATTCATGTTATTGATTTCATTCATCTCATGCATTTCATTTGTTCATTCATTCATTCATTCATTCATTCATTCATGCATGCATTCATTCATTCATTTATTCATTCATTCATTCATTCATTCATTCATTCATTCATTCATTCATTCATTCATTCATTCATTCATTCATTCTTTTGTTTCATTTTATTTCATTTCATGTCATCTCATTCAATTTGGTGTCATTTCATTCCATTCCTTTCGATTTTATTTCCTTGTATTCATGCCATTTAGTTTCTTCACTCCATTCATTTTATGAATTCCATCTATTTCTTGGTTCCTGTCATTCTGTTCAGTCCGTGCATTCCGTTCATCCCATTCATCCCATTCATCCATTCATGCATCCATCCATTCATTCATTCATTCATTCATTCATTCATTCATTCATTCATTCATGCATTTATGCATCCATGCTTTCTGTATTCAGTCTAGCACGTAGGCCATGTCTCTAAAAAGAACATAAATCCTCTTTGAAAGCATGCAGGCCCGAGCTCTGCAACGCGCCCTCAAGCAGCACAATGTGGAGCTGGTAATTGCCTCTTGGCCAAGTCTGACTAAAACACTTGCGAACTGTTACTGCGTCTTGGTAAGGCATGTGAAATGCGTAGGGGGATATTGGGCTTACATCATCTACGATCAACATATCCAGCAACATTTCTAAGTGTAGTCTATTGAACATTTCCATACATTTCCCTGTTTACCATCTTCAATTTTGCTCAGAGCATTCTGTTACGCTCCACCCAGGTCAGTGCCCACCTGTCCGAGTCCATCACGCGGGTTGTGCTGCAGCGGGAGCTATCCCGCTGCGATGCCTTCCTGGCGTTTGGGACGAAGGACTATGGTGAGGACACTGGCAACCCAGCTTCCACCTACAAGGAGCTTGAGTGGTGGGAGCTCTGACTAAATTAGTGCTGTGTGACTGCTTTTGTGGCAGGGTTTGAATCGGAATCAGTTTCCGGATTGGGATTGGATGGGTTTGGGCAGGTATGATTTTGCTTTCTTTCTTGGCATGCCAGCAAAGCGATCGCAATATGTCTTCGCGTTTGGTGCAAAGTCAATGGCAGCATAATCAATGATTACTTGCTGGGTGCGGGAAGTTACAAAACAGACAGTGAAACCAGCAGCTAACACGAGTTTTCCTTGGTTTTCTCGCGCCGTTTATTTTCTTTTCACAGCTCTTAAACCGTGCGTTCCCGGCAGAAATCCATGGCTTTCCACGAGTTTTCCTTGGTCTTCTCACGCCGTTTATTTGGATTTCACAGCTCTTAAACCATGCGTTCCCGGCAGACATCCACGGCTTTCCGCGAGTGTTTTTTGTTTTCTCGCGCCGTTTATTTGCATTTCACTGCTCTTAAACCGTGCGTTCCCGGCAGAAATCCACGGCTCTCCACGAGTTTTCCTTGTTTTTCTAAATAGTTCTCAGCCTATGGCAGCCCTATGCTTTTGTGCTGTATGCTCCTTCAGTCCTGGCTAGTCCCTCGACATGCGGAGGTCCCTAATCAAAGGAAGTTTAGGAGGAACTTCCGTGTTACGGCAACTAATTGAAAGCTAGCTCTCTGAGACAGATGACAAGAGAAGGAATAAGCCCGCGAGAACAAAACCTGATAGAAGCCACGAACCCGAATGCAAAAGATGGCCTTGGGAACGCGCAGTTCGTCAACCCGAGCAATGTTGTCCAGCTGGAGACATGTTTTGAGCGACGTTTTGAGCTTGTGACCGACCGTTCAACCGACACCTCTAAATATTTTTCAACGCAACACTCGTAAGCGGCTTTTGTCACTGACACTTTTGAGAGACGCTTCTGAGCAAGAGCTTGAGCAACGGCAACACTTCTGAACACGCTTACAAGCGTTATTTCAAACTACGCTCCTAAGCGACACCTCTGATTGACACATGTCATGTAAGCGTCAAGCGCCAATCCTGAAGCCATAATTCTGAGCGACAAACTACGGCAAACTGAGCGACACCTCTACACACAGACATAAGCGACACTTCTGAGCAACACTTCAAGTGACACTGTTGCACTTTACACACACACACATACACGTAAGCGACGCTACTGAGCGACACTCCTGAGCGACAGTTCGGGCAACATTTCTATCTGAGCGACGCTGTTGAGCGACACTCCTGAGGAACATTTGTGAGCGACATGTCTGAGCAACACTTCTGAGCGATACTCCTCAGCGACACTGCGGACAACACCTCTGAGCGACACTTCTGAGCCACACGCACTTCTACACGCACATCAGCAACACTCCTGGGCGACCCTCCTAAGCGACGATTCGAGCGACACTTCTACACACACACACATAATCACACATATCTGAGCGACACCTCTGAGCGACACTTCTGAGTGACGCTGCTGAGCGACAGTGCTGAGCAAACTCTCTGACCGACACTTCTGAGCAACACTTCTGAGCAACACTTCGATCCGAGCAACGCTTCTGGTCGACACTTCTGAGCAACACTTTTGACCGAGCGAACCCTTTGCGCACTTTGGGTGGGTCCAATCGCTCTTGCTGTGGCGCGGTGCACATTTTGCAAATGCAAAGTGAGTGCAAAGTGAACCCTCTGCGCACTTTGGGTGGGTCGAATCGCTCTCGCTGTGGCGCGGTGCGCATTTTGAGCATGCGAAGCGAACCCTCTGCGCGCTTTGGGTCGGTCGAATCGCTCTCGCTGTGGCGCGGTGCGCATTTGGAGACAGAAGTGTCGTTTGGAAGTGTCGATCAGGAGTGCCCATTGGAAGTG